GGCTCTTATTTCTCTAGGGTATATTGCTAGGAGTGGGATTGTTGGATCATATGGTATTTCTATTTCTGGCTTTCTAAGGAAGCACCATATCATTTTCAAAATGGTTGTACCATTTTGCCTTCCCAGCAGCAGTGCATAAGAGTTCCATCTCCTCGCAGCCTCTCCAACATTTGTTATTTTTGTTTTTTTGATTCCTGCCAGTAATGCTGGGGGTGAGATGGTATCTCATTGTGGTCTTCATTTGCATTTTTCTCATGGCTGGTGATCGTGAGCATTTCCTCATGTGTCTGTTGCCCACTTGAATGTCTTCTTTGGTGAAATGTCTGTTCATTTCTTTTGCCCATTTTTTAATTGAATTATTTGTCTTTTTGTGGTAGAGGTATTGAGTTTTCCCATAGATTTTCAATATTAGACCTTTGTCGGATTTGTAATAGCCAAATTTTTTTTCTCAGCCTGTAGGTTCTCTTTTTACTCTTTGGTGAAGTCTTTTGATGAGCATTAGTGTTTAATTTTTAGAAGATCCCAGTTGTGTAGCTTCTGGAATTTGTGTGTTGTTAGTTATGGTTTGTATCCTGTTAATGCCGTGTATAAGGGCCTCTAGCGTTGTGGATCACCTTTCTTTGGAATGGGCACAAATTTTGATCTCTTCCAGTCAGTTGGCCAGGTAACTGCCTTCCAGATTTCTTGGCATAGACGAGTGAGTCCCTCCAGCATTGCATCCGTTTGTTGAAACCTCGCCATTGGTATTCCATCAATTCTGGAGCCTTGTATTTCACTAGTATGTTTGGTGCAGCTTGGACTTCTTCCTTCAGTACCATCGGTTCTTGATCATATCCTACCTCCTAAAATGGTTGAACGATGACCAGTTCTTTTCGGTACGTTGTCTTTATGTGTTCTTTCCATCTTCTCTTGATGTTTCTTGCATCGTTCAACATTTTGCCCATAGAATCCTTCAGTATTGCAACTCAAGGCTTGAACTTTTTCTTCAGTTCTTTCAGCTTTAGAATTACCAAATGTGTTCTTCCCTTTTGGTTTTCTAACCCAAGTTTTTACACATTTTAAGACTTTACTTTGTCTTCTTGAGCCGCCTTTTGAAATCTTCTTTTCAGCTCTTCTGCTTTATCATTTCTTGCATTTGCTTTAGCTACTCTATGTTCAAGGGCAAGTTTCAGAGTCTCTTCTTTCCTTTGGTCTTTTCTTTCTTTCCTGTTTTTTTTCCCCCCTGAATTTTACTTATTTTGTGGTTGTTGAGAATATACACAGCAAAACATACACCAGTTCAACCATTTCTGCATGTACAATTTAGTGACGTTGCTTACATTCTTTAAGTTATGTAACCATTCTCACCATAGTTGTTCTTCCCTCGTTAACATAAACTCACTGCCCCGAGATTCCTATCTAACCTTTCCAATTTGACCCCACATAGATAGTTCTTAAAAGATTGTAATGCTCAAGGCAGACCTTTCTTACGAGGTAAGCTAAACTATTGTTTGGTTTTAAGAAGACTTCAGGGGATATTTTTGGTTTAAGGTTTAAAGATTATCTCAGGGCAATAGTTTCAGGGGTTCCATGGCTCCAGAATGTCTGGAATTTGTGATAATTTGAAATCTGTTTGGCATTTTCCCCCTTTTGATCAGGATTCTTCT